GCTGCCAAATTTATTTATAAAATTTTAGAAAAATTAGGTTAACTAAAAATTAAACTTAGAGTTTAGAGTATCTTTGCATCAAAATTGCATCAATTAAGCGCATTTGATACAATTCATATTACTAAACACCGATTATAAATTTGAACCATAATTATTGATTCCAATGCTAAAAAAGCTATCTTACAATCATGCATTAGACCTAAAAATTAAGATTTAAAATTATGTGCTTAGGTGACTAGTTGGTAGTGCACTCTAAGCGAGCATAAGTTCAGAAGCATTTGCACCCGTCAAACTTCTTTTTGGTAGGATTATCCTAATCTCCAAATAAATTTTATAACTCTCAAATGTTTTCAAAATGATTGATTAAAATCTTTAAATCTTTAAATTAAATCTATTAAATTTTAAATCTAAAATAAATCTAAGCTCTGCTTTAATTGAATGTTTTCTCTTCAAAGATGTAAACTATAAATTGTAGAAGCTTCTCTCTATAGGAGCCCAAGAACTCATATTAAAATAAACTCTAATTTAGTATTCTAAAATAGCAGAAAAATATTTTAGATGCAAACTATAACATATCCTTGGTTAGTTTTCTTTTCAAAATGATAGGTGAATATTTCTTTTATCTTTCGATATGATTTGAATATTCCTTATGTTGTAATTAATTATGAAAATAAAATTTGTTTCTCTTCTCAAGTCGATAGTGAAGAATTAGTCTACTTCTCCAGGTAGTATAATGTTGGTTATGTGGATTTGACTAAAAAAACATAAAAGCAAATCACTGGCACATTTATTTTTCTACAGTTACCATATCAATCTCGAAGGGACTCTATACTCCTTAGAATACCTGCGTAGATGAATGCTACATTTTATTCATAATTCTTTAGAATCTTGAGATAGGATAGCATCCTACTCAGCATCAGGCATTATATGTGAAGAGGGTGCAGATGGCTAACCAATCATGTATTTAGCAGATACCTAGCTTGAATCTACTATATACTCCTTGGGTACCATAACAACCCCAGATTTTATGCTTTTTTCAAGCCACACCTAGAAGGTTATTCAATTTTCTAATTTGTAACCTAATATCTAGCATATGAACAATAATTGTGTTGGCCCACTTTACCCACTTCTTCTAACCTCGAAGGGTCAGTCATTTTACATTTAGACTTCTTCAAGAGGTTCTTGAAAATAGTTTCCCATTTAAATGAATAAGGTTTATTCATAAGTGACTCAAACTTCTTCATGTCCTCTTCTAAAGTAAGATTGGATCAAGATCTTACCTATTAATCATACCAAGATTTACTATACTATAGAAATTGGGAAGCACATGTTAGATTTTTTACTTGAACTTTTATTGACTGTTTGTTTATCAAGAGTTAAAATTGACCTAGATTTTTTTCCAAGACTTTATGAGGTTTCAAATTTTTAGAATATAATATTGATTATTCTTTTAGAAATGAGAAATGAGAAGCTTCTTCCTAAATATTATAGGCTTTACTCAATAACTTCTCAAATATCTTTATAGTGAACCATTTTAATAGGAAGGCTGCCATACCAAGAATATGTTTAAGAAGGATTTTTATAGTTGCACTTGCAACTGAGGTTCACACTTCATGTTAAGATTCCTCAATCTTAGGATGTAATTTACTAGATTTTTTCTAAGTTTCTACTTTTGATAACTAGATCCCTGATTGTGACATGATGTCTTACCCAACAAACCTTTTAATAAGAAGGTTTGTTATTTTGTAATGGTACGAACTGACCCATTAGTGAGTTCAAAATACAAATCAAATGCGACACCAGATAAGCTGCTAACAAGCTATCTAAATAATAACACATCGCTACCTCCATCATTATAATAGATGGCTCTAAAATGTACTAATGTTGCGTGGGGGTAACTCATGCCATCAAAATTTTTAAATAAAGGTGGCACAAATTCTTACGGATATGAGACCAAGCCATATTCTTCTAGGTACGGTGTACCTCTTAGAACTGATGAAGTACCCTATATCTGAGCTAACACCACTTTGACTTGAAGCTCTACCATTTGTTTTAGTTTTATAGACTGCATTGGTGCTTTTTCTAACTTTACAAATTGATTTTCTTTCTTCTTTACTAATTTCTTTCTTTTAATTGTTTACTTGCCCAGATTCATTCCGAGGTGAATCAATCTACGCTTTAGATGAAAGAGACTCTTATTTTTGCAATGCGACCATGACAACTATCAACTCTTTCATCTTCTTCTCCATTATGTAGATCTATTCATCTTTTTTACTCAATTGGTTTAATAGACATAAGGTTAAGTCTAGTGTATAACCTTTATCAAACTCCAAATATTAAATAATAGCTTTATTTTTAACCTTTTCTATATGAGTTGATGCTTGGGTATCCAACATGCAAATGTTTTCAGACATTTCCTCTTTGTGGTATCTCATAATAGCCATTTCAATGGTCTCCTCTTCATCTAATTTTCTAATTCTTTCTTTTAATCCATTCATCATATCTTCTATCAATGTTTCTAACATATAGTGTGGGTCAATCTCTTTAATTGGCTCAGGATTTACTGGAGCATTATCTTCTAATTCTTTAATAGCCATTATCTTTATCTTTATATGTTAATATGATTATCTTAATTTATTTATTAATAATTAATTTAAATAATTATTTTTATATATTAATGTAAATAAAATGATATTATTTATGATTTAATAAATTGAATAAAAATTATTATGTTTAATTAAGTTAATAAAATTATTGATTAAATTTTAACTATGATGTTATCTTGTGCTAATTATAATTTAATTAATTTAGTTTGGATTGAGATTTATTAATATTCATTCAAACAAATTGGATATGACTATTTTAATCTTAATATCAAATCAACACTTATAATTATTATTAGTTAATTTATAAATTCTAGCTTGAGCTAATTAATATTGTTTAGTTTAGTAGTTTGATAAAAGAATGATTGGTGATTAATTTAAATGTTAAATATAAATAAACTAAATATGAAGTGATGCCTTAATCATTGATACATCACAAAAGATCGCATTGATCAAGCACTAATCTTGAGGCATGTTAAAGTTGGCCATTTACCAAATTAAATATGGTATCATCCAAACTCCAATTTGAAAAGACATGTGGTCAAATTGAAGGTCTCAGTGAGATGAATCCAATGACACAATAATTAGTCCAATCTGAGCCCAAATGGGCACAAACCTAAGGATTAGAGCATAATTGGAAGCTCCGAAGCATTGATTGGATGACAAAATTATATTTAAATATGGCATGCTTATAACAGAATCGAGCGACTCAATGAGATGAATCCAATAAGCCCGAGACTATTTTATTATAACATCATTAAGATACATAATGCTTGATGAAAACTCTATGATCAAGTGAATCATTATGGGTTGTTCGTTGTAGCACTCTAAATTTATCCTAGATCTTCTCAAAATTTATGGGGCATACCACTCCCAAAATCTATAAATAGACCCCCTATTCCCATATAAAAGGGGGCTTGGATATTTGGAGGCTTAGACCCTGAGCTAGAGATACTCTCTGCCCAACCGTGGTTGTTGAACATCTATCTGACAACCACTATTAGGCTTTTGTTTAACCTCTGTCGCCCGCTGACTATGGTCCTTTCGACCAGCATCGCTAGTTAAGGATAGTCCCTCCGACCATCATCGCATGCTGACTACGGTTCCTTCAACCAATGTCACCCGTCAACTATGATACCTTCGACCACCGTCGCCTTCCAATTATGGTCTATCTGACCACCATCGCCCACCATTACGGTCCCTGCAAACATTGTAGAGAGCCGAGTATGATCCCTCTGACCTCCGTTGCCCTCTAACTACGGTACCTCCAAACCCCTTCGTTCGCTAACTACGATCCCTTTGATCTTCGTCTCTCATCAACTACAGTCCCTCCGACTTCGATTGCCTGCTGACTTTGATTCCTTCGACCTCCGTCGCCCATCGACTACGACCCCTAAAACAAATGTCATCTGTCAAATATGGTTTCTAAGACCTTTAGCACCAACGGACTACGGTCCCTCCATCCTCCATCACTAGCTAACGACGATCTCTTTGACATCTATCACCTGCCAACTATGGTCCCTCCGACCATCGTCGCCCACAGACTACAGTCCGTCACAAGTAAACTACCCCCTCAACCCCAGTCGCCCAACTATGGTCCCTTTGACCACAATCACCCGACTACGACCACCGTCACCCGCCAACTACAATCCCTCCGACCTTCGTCACCCGTTGAGTATGATCCCTTTGTCCTCTGTCACTAGATACAATCCCCCTCTAGCTCAGTCGCCGTCACTCAAGTACGATCCTACTAATCAAACAAATTGACAAATATTCTCTTGAGAATAATTCTCATATTATCGAATTCTTCCAACTCAAGCAATGTAACATGCTTTATATAATGTATTTTTACTACATTGAACTAAGGTCTTCTCTCGAGAAGAGCATCATTTGTAATCAACTAAAATACGAGTATGATCATTTTAATTGGGTTATGCCCCATAAAATTTCTCATTTTATGGGTTTTTCATGTAAAAATCCTGGAGTGTCTTCTCTCTCTCTCTCTCTTATATGTAGGTATGCTCAATCTTCATATAAAGCTATGACGCTAAACATTCCATCTTTCTACTGCCATGAATATTGACGCAACAATCATATATAATTTTAAATAAAAAAATTCATTAATGAATTTTATGTATCATATTAAATATTTTTTATGATTTCTACACACAAATAGTAAGATTTGATTTGGGATAACTTTATTATTGTTTTATGAAATAATTTTTTAGTACAAAATTTTTTACCTAAAAAGCTGCTAACAAAAGCTGACAAAAGAAGCCTCAAATTTTATTTGGGGTGACTTTTTTTTGTTTTCTAAAACAATTTTTTTGTTTAAAAATTATTGTTGAATAAATATTTGAACCAAAAAGCTGTTTTAGTTTAGAAAGCATAAGAAATTCCAAGCAAAACCTAAATTACCGGTCAATGCTGCACCAACGAAGTGAAAAATCATGACTGCTAAGTTGCTTGGACGATTGCTGCAGCTACCAACCGCGGCCTCCGCTCTGCTCGCTCCTGCGAAGATCCTCCCCGCTGCGTACACTGCAGTGGGCTCTCTGCATCCGGATCAACATGGGCGGATCTCTTTCCGGCGACATTTTTTCGATCTCCACAAGGTTTCACCGTACTATTCATCTCATGAATATCCTTAGGAATTTAGGGCCTGAGTATCTAATGCTGCGAATTGGTGTTATTTTTCTAGATGGTTGACAAGGAAGCCATAAAAAGGGAGAAGGATAGGCTGTAAGTTATTTTGATTCATTTAGTGCTGATGTTGGGATCAATAAAATTGTTGCCGAAGTAAATTTTAATCATTCTTGTAATTTAATGCGTTGTAGTCTTGCCATGCTGAACTGTAAAAGAAATCTATTTCATATTTGAAGTTTTGTTTGGTGTCATTACACTTGATAAAGCAACATTTTCCAGAAAGATTAGTGGTGATTTTGGTAAAAAAAAGAATTAAATGGCGATTTTGACCATTCTTTATTTGTCATTTATTTTAGACATCAAACAGTCTTATTTCAAAATTTTTGTTAGAATTAATATACATCTTGATGACATCAAAATAGGACATGAATGTTACTTATGAGATTGTTATTTTACCATTTTAGCAACTCAAACATCCGAGGTAATTAAATGACAATATTATTTAAAGAGTAATACTAGCCTCCAACGATAGAATCTCTAAGATTTTGGAATTTAATGTATCCTTCCATTTACTTAATTCGAAGCTTACTTGGCCAATATTAAATGGGAAGATATTACATGCATGTTCATATGACCCACTATACAAGAAAATGCACTTCATATATATATATATATACATTTGTTTGAGGAGTATAGCTTTTTCTTGTTTAAATAAGACAACATAACCAGCACACTATATTTAATAGACAATATTGTTAATTGAATATTTGAATGTTACTATCATCTATATAACATTGAAATCTAGACACTTTGAACAAAACATCTCCCTTAACAAGAAATAATTTCATTTTAATTTTTTATTATCACAATTCACAATTGCAAAAGATGTCTTAATTTTATTTGTTCTATCTCTCTTGACCTTTACGACATATGATTATACTTATGCAAGATTTCCGGTTTCCATACTTCCTTACCCACCCCTGGTAGTTCGTTAAAGAATGCATCAAACTGCATAGGCTTTTCAAGCCATAACTTGTAATAGTAAGGTTTTATATGGTTTTGCTTTGTTGTAGTGCTTACAAGTCAAGCAATGATTTACAATTACCTAAACACAAGATTTTATACCATAAGTTTTGTTTAAGCTATAAACTTTTGTTAAAGCAGTTTCTCTCATTTGACACAGGGACTAATGCTGAATACACCTAAAAGTTAATGTTATCTCTTTCCTTACTATTTGTTTTATTTTCTATCATGCTCTTACTTTATGCTCCAATCCTCATAACTTCACTTATTATATTTATACGTATTTCAACCGAAAGTAAATAACAGTAAAAGTTTGAGGATGAAGGAATCATCTCATGCTTATCATGTCATTCTGGTTTGATAAAAAAATTGCAGTGTTGCATTTATTTTTAGCAATTTATGGATTGCTATATTAATAAACCTTGTTTTGCTATGTTGCAGAAAAGATGAATTAAGTAGAGGATATTTTGCAGACTTTTCAGAAATCCATAAAAACAGTGGCAAGGTGTGAGAACTTCTTATCATGGTATGATTTTTTTTTCCATTGCTCATCGAGAATGGTATTTTTCACGAGTATCTTCATTTTTGAATGATACAAACAAATGCAGATTGCTCCAGCAAACAAAACTCTCATTGCTTCCATGGCAGCTGCCATGTTTCCTGATATTGTGGTATATTTTTCGGATGGGAGGAGGCTAAAGCTGCCTTTATCTGATCAGAATGTGAATAATCATAGCACTGAGATCATTCCTTCTGCCACCTTATTATGCCTTTCCTTTCGAGCAAGCTCCCAGGTGATCATTATTTTTTAGCATGCCTTGATAAGTTATGCTAATGGTTGCATTTTGAAACCGTTGGGTTATAATAGAGACAAGAACTTGCCGCTATGACATCTATGTAATGGCATTACCTTCTCTGTCAGTGTTATTGTGTAAGTGATAAGATTCTTAGCATCCAAGAAGGAAGTGCACCTTTATAGTAGGTATAAATTCCAAAAGAAGAAGAGGAGGAGAAGAGAAATCAGAAAATTTTCATTATGTAAGCAATTCCTTACAATAAGAGGGTATTTAAACTAATTTGGATAGATCAGTTTGCCAATAAAGAATCGTTCTATAAAACTAAATACTAAAATATGATAAAAGAAAAAAAAAATAGTGCTTGCTAGATGAACCGCGTGTGTAGACCTAATGGCCTAAAACATGTTTTTTGGGCTTTCATTGTAGAAGGGCTTCTGTCATTTATGGATTATATTGTCAATGTGGAATGAATTTGGTTCCTTTTTCTTTGATAGATTTTTGTATTGGTAGCTTATTCTGCCATAATTGTTGGCTAAGTTTCACACTGTTTTTGTACATTTTCGGGATCCAATAAAATGTGTTGATGTCTAACACTCCCGTTACCATGAACAATAATCTTGTCCTCAAGGATGAGAGAAGGAAAATGCGAAGAGTGCTGAAAACTTTTCTCATATGACATCATCTGTAAATTTAGTTTCCATTGTAACAGTACCTGATAGTGAGGATGACTATGAAGTTGTATAATGTGAGAGGCTAAAATTTCATAATTTATATGAAGTTGTTGATTGTTTTAACTAAAATTAGGTTATGGGGAAAGGGTTAATGAATGAGCTCCTTTAAATGGTTTAAGAAGTGAAATATGGAAAACATGTCTAGATGATTTGGTTTCTTGACAATTAAGACATTTGCTAACAAAGTCAGTGTCATCTTTTTGAAGGGCAGGCTAAAAAAACTTGAAATTCTTTTGATGGTGTTATGAACACCTTAATGCCCTGTAAGAGAGATAGAATGAAATTTTGTGAGGATTTACTGTTTTAGAGGAGAATTTTAACTAATATAGATACAAACTTAATAATAAAGAATGTTGTCCCTAAATTGGTAATCTGTGTGATAAAGTTCACCCTTGAAGAGTTGATAATTGATAATCATTCTTGAACTGAAGAAAGAGAAGCTCCGTTATTTGCAGGAACAGACGAATTTTGAATTCCTCTTGCACGCGGGTTTTCTGGTTGGACCCGATGGCATCAGAGAGCCGTCGGCAACCTTCTGCCGGGGTCTCTTTCAACGTTCGGCCAATATCCGTTCCATCCTGGAATGGATCTCGACTGACTCCAGTATCGTCTCCTCTGGCCTTTGGGGATTCGAATGTTGATAGAGATGTTAAAATCAAGTTCAGAATTGAAAGACCTCTGGTGATTAAAGAGGGAGGACTGCCGAAGGATAAAGTTCAAATTGAAGATGTCGGTAAGGACAAGAAGGTTTTATTTGAAAGTTATGGAAAAAATCATTCTTTGATGGAAGAGGTAGGGATATCAAAAGGTTTTGCTAAACCTGAACTGGGCAATTCGTCTCTTTATTTGGTGAAAGAGGATTCTATTGGTAATTGCTCATTGAAAGTAAGGGAGAATGAAGCTATCATTGAAGATGGGTCTGAGAAGGAGAAACTCAATCTTGTTCCAAATGTGCAGAACATGGAGGCTGAGATAGGAGTTAATATAGTGTCTGTTATTCCGGAGCAGGAGTATTCCTGTTTTAAGCAGAGAACTTTTGAACTAAACAATGTTAGGAACTGTGAATCTGGTGAACTTGGGAATTGCAAATTGCCTGCTAACTGCTTGGAAAGCAATAAACAACAGTCTGGTAATGAACTTAAAAATGATTGGAGTATGAAAACAAACATCAGGGCAATTGATATAGATATGGGTGAAGGATTCATTGAAAATGGTTCAACAGTTAAACTGCATATAGGGAATGAGCTGGAGAACTCAAACAGACTTCAAAAAGCATTGGTGATTAAAATCTTCGGTGATAGCATTCCTTTCCATATCATTAGTATGGAGTTAAGGAGACAATGGGGAGTTTTTCGGAAGTTTCACTTGACCTTACTTGGTATGGGTTGGGTTCTCTGTGCATTTGAGAATCCAGATGTGATGGACAGGGTTTTCACCATGGGTCTGTGGTGTGTGAATGGGAGTATAGTGGGAATGGATAGATGGTCTCCATCATTCTCTCCTACTTCCTTCAAAGGTTTGACTGCACCTATATGAATCCGTATGCCGAATCTTCCACTACAAAGCTGGGATGACATCAACGTATGCAGAATTGCTTCCATGGTAGGCACTCCTTATTTGATAGATGGAAACATGTTTCAATGGGGTAGAAGTAAATTTGCAAGAGTTTGTGTCCGGGTAAAGTTTGATGAAAAACTTCCCTTGGGAGTTTGGGTTAAAGGGAGTTTGGGAAATTTTTTTCAATGCATTGAATATGAAAGACTTCCTAGATTCTGCTTTAATTGTGGGAAGTTAGGACACTTGAAAGAGAATTTCCCTGAAAGAGTTGCTCCCATTCAGTCTCAAGCTGTCAGTGAAAATCAGAAGGAAAATGTTGCTGTAGAAACTGACAAAAGGAAATCTCATGGAGATGCTGATGATGCTAGAGATGGCTATGGACCTTGGGTCCATGTGAACTATGGGAGGAAGAATTTAAAAAAGCCAGATTTTAAACTATTGGAAAATCAAATCAATAAGAGGAATGCTGTGAAGAATCCTGAAGATTAGGTTTTCATTGCTGCTGTAAGGAATGCTGAACTGCTGAAGAATAAAATTAATGCTATTGGGAATCCTGAGACAGTTGTTGTGAAAGAAGAAAAGTCTGCTGAAGTAGAAATACCCGAAGAAGCTGGAAGGTATCTTCAATCTCTGAAAGGAACCCAGATAGATGTGGATCAGTCCAGAAAAGGAGAAAAGAACATTGAATCAAATGTAAATTCAATCAATTTGGAAGATCATTCCAAGATTCCCTCAGGTATTGCTTCGTCTGGTGGTCTGAATGTTGGAATGTACTGCAAACAAGATGATATCTGCTTCTCTGATAACAAATATGAATTTTTAAACAATTTGTCCGAGGAAGGTGAGATGGTTATTGAATCTCCTATGAAGATCACTGAACAGGAAAAAGGAGGTGAGACAGTTTCAAAGTATGGTAAAAATATGAATTATTGAGGGAAATGTAAGGAATGGAAATATTGTTTCTAAAAAGAAAGGTGCAAAAGCAGTTGAAGAGCTTGGGTCCAATTACATCATAATCTAGAAATAGAAGATTGGAGGAGATTCAAGGAAGAAGGTGGGGAAATCTTTCCCTCTCACCCAAAAATGAGTTCAATAGTGTTTTGGAATTGTAGAGGATGCCAAGAAAAAGAAGGCTTCTCTATATCTCAAGGAGGTGGTGAAAGAATATGAGGTATTGTTCGTGGGTCTTTTGGAATCTAAGTTGACTAGTATTGATGGCAAAGATGTCAACTCTTTGATTGGTTCTTGTTGGGATCACTTTCATGTCCCTTCGGAAGGATTGTCTGGAGGTATTGTGGTAAGTTGGAGAAGCAGTTTGGCATCTTTCACTGTTCTAGAATTTTCTTCCCAATATATCATTGGAGATTTGGAAGTGGCTAACAAAAGCAAATGGAGAATTGCTACTATATACGACAACAAAGATGTTTACAGAAGAAGATATCTTTAGGAAAGGTTGGAAGCTTATGTTAATGTTGATTTTACTATTGTCTTAGGTGGGGAATTCAACTGTATACTTACCAAGGAGGACAAAAGGGGTGGAAGAAGATTCACCTTTTCTTTGGGTCCTAAAGAGATGAATACCTTTCTCACTTGCAATGACCTCCATGAGGTAAATTATGTTGGACCGAAATTTACTTAGTGTAATAACCAATCAGGCAATGACCAGATCCTAGGAAGGCTAGACAGATGCTTTGTGAATTCTTGGGCCATTAATTCTACTCATGGGTTAGTGGTAAAGCACCTTCCAAGAATAGCTTCAGATCACTGCCCCATTATGTTGAACATTTTTGGAATTGAAAATTCAGCTAAAAGAATTATTAAATTTGAAGAAATTTGGTCTGCATATCTAGCTTCGGTAGCTGTGGTGAGGAAGGCTTGGGACATGAAAACTAGAGGGAGCTTAGCCCAAGTACTCAATCAGAAAATGAAGAGGGCTTTGAAGTCTCTATTCTTTTAGAGTAGAGCAAAGTTGAAGGACTTGAATCAACAAAAAGAAAGGTTAAAGCAAGAAATTTTACAATTGCAACTAAAAGAAGCAGAAGATGGACTTCTATCAGTTGAAGACATTTGGTGTTTAAAGACCAAAATCAGTGAGCTTAATTCAACATTATTGCGCCTCAACACTTGGTGGAGGCAGTGCTCAAAAGTGAAATGGACGGCTGAAGGTGATAGCAATTCCAGATTTTTTCAATAATTTGCTAGTGCTAAAGGACCTCAAATTTTATATATAGCATAAAAGATGAACATGGATGTATTGTGGAGGATCAACATCAGATTGAGAATGTTTTGCTAACATTCTTCAAAGAAAAATGGGGAGAAAAAACATGCTCCTTGGACGGGTGGCCAAAACCGAGAAGAATGCTGGATGAGAAGGACATTGCATGCTTGAACAAAAGCTTTACTATTGAAGAAGTGGAAAAAGTGATAAAAGAATATGTGGTATTCATTGCTCCGGGGAATGATGGCATATCATACTCATTTTTCAAAAGCTATTCATTTTTCAAAAGCTATTGGTCTATTATCAAAGAGGATGTTTGGAATGCTTTGAACCAGTTTTTCACATCAGCCAATATGTGTGAGAGTTGGAAGGAAACTATCATTGTGCTGATCCCTAAAGTAAGTAATCCTTCATCACCTTCCAATTATAGACCTATAAGTTTGTGCAATACTACTTACAAGATAGCGGCCAAAGTTTTGTTGAATAGAATG